TATTTTTTTGTAATAATAATTAATCTAAAATTGAGAATTTTTTAAAATTATATTTTGTTAATAATGAACTATTATATTATTAACTATTATTAATTATTTTATATTAGTGTTTAATAATACAAATTATATGATTAATTAATTTATTTATTATTATGCATTGTATTCATATATTTATTATGATAAAATATATAGAATATTATTCAGTGCTAAATTTGATTTATTTTGTAATTTTTATAATTAATTTATTTTGAAATATTTTTACTTATTTTTATTTTTTATTTCTTATTAAAATTTATTTAGAATATTATTTATTATTATAAATTAATTTTAGCTATATATTATTCTAATTTATATATATAGAAACATGTATTTGTAGCTGCGGCGCTTTTCTTAACTGTTCTTCACATTTCGTTGACTTTGAGAAAGAAACTATAATCAAGCTTCTTGTCAAATTTAACTTGCGATTAACAAGGAATAAGCTTTGCACATAATTCAAGTAATCTTCAGCAAACTCCTGCACTACTCGAAGACATTTGAACTATCATTGAAGCTGCGTGACACGCTGCGAACTCTAACTGTAAAAGCGAGGAGTGTACGAAGAGTTGTTAGCCCCGGGACTTGCAGTCAGATTAGCATAAATTCAACGGCTTGTAATTGTCAATTTATAAGTGTGTGTGTGTGTGTGTGTGTGTGTAGCTCTGTGTGCCTGTGTGTGTTAAACTCAGTGTCTAGATGCCGGCAATGCGACTAATGAATACATTCGCCTGACGGTCGCCGTTGCTTGCTGTGGGCTGCGGAGGGAACGTTCGCTTCATGGGCTTGTCAATTGGCATGCAGATTGAAGCGCTTTATATGCATATATATATATATGTATGTATATGTAGATTTATAGGCGTGCGTATGTGTGTGTGTGGGGGCTAGTTATAAACACCAATCAGCTGTTCGAAAAAGCTTAAAGCTGCTCAGAGGGCGTGTCCAGTGCGGCGAGGCGGAGAACCGAGGAGCTGCAGCTAAGAGCTGTGACAGAGTTGCCAAAGTGCAAAGCCATAAAAAATGCACTTAGGCATGCGTGTTGCCGTCTCGCTTGCACAATTAGCTCTAATTGTTTTGTAGTCACATTTGTAATGCTCTTTGTTGCAGTCCATGTCTGCTGCTGCTGCTGCTGCTGCCTCGAGTCACGAAATGTGCATTCAAAATGCGAAGCAGAGCAATCGCAATTATTTCGAAATAAACGCAACATAATATATACATATATATATATACCATTATTTATATATATATGTCCATATATACATAAATATTTTTATTGTAGTTTTCGTTTTCGTGCGTTGTTTTTGTGCTGGCTTCCGTGTTATTATATGGAAAGTGTGCAGAGGTGGAGTGACGACCGCTATGAGGATACACGAATCGGCGTCCACTTGTCGCCGCGCATCCTTCTTGGCCATTAAGCTGACAAATTGTTATCGTAAACGTCAGAGTCGTAAATTAAGACTGACTCGAGACAGCGGTGCAAATGTTCGCCGTATGATAGCGCTGGCAACTCCAGCAGCCTTTCACCCACTTTGGGGCACTGGGGCAATGCATCATGCAGTTGTCAAAAAAAAACGTTGATAGCAAAGACACAGCGAGAAAGAGTGAGACAGTGAGAGAGCCAGCGGGGGCAGCAGCATATAACGTCGAGGCAAAGAAAGCAGCATCAACAACAGCAGCAGCAGCAGCAGCAGCAGCCGTTGCTCCACTTTCGGCTGCGTTACGCAATACCAACTCGAATTTTGTTGTTGTTGTTATTATTGCCAGACACTCCATACACATTGTTGGTGAAAAGCAGGCAAGACGCAGGCCACGTCTCTGTCGGCAGCCAGTGGCTGTGACTGACCAGCGCTGATTGGAGTTTCATTACCAGAGCCACAGCCAGCCAAGCTGGAGAAATGCGTCTACCTCAACTCCCCGCACGCTGAGCCCTCCTCTGCAGTGATATAAATCAAATGTCTTGAAACAATACATCAAGTGAAGGCGCTAGCCAAGACGTCGTCGTCGTCATCCACTCTGAGTGCATCTCACTCGCTAATGGCCTTTAGCTACGCTCGCTGATGCCGCTGCTGTGGCGGCTGTTATTATTGTGGCTCGAGTGGCTGGAACAAATGTCAATGGTATTGACATTTTCGTTACGTTTGCTCAACCGATTCCAAATCTTCAAATTGACATGAGAAACTTTTGAAATCACGTTGCATTTGGCTATGCCAGATTTAGATGCGGTTAGCTACATTTCTCCACAAAATGGGAGAAGGGCACACACACACACACAACCACACACTCACACACTTTTACTCTATTTATTTTTTGGACGGGTTTTCGCTTTGACATTTGTAAACACTTCCGCGTGCTCTCTTTGATTCATCTGATTGTTATTGTTGTTGTTTTTTGTCTTTCGACTGTAATTGATGGCTTCGCATTGTGATAGGCGCTTTGTGTGTATTTTTTGTTACATTTAACGAGAGCTATTAGCGGCTTTAGTTTGTGTTGTTAGCTTCAGTCGATCGCAATTTGTTATCTGCTCCAATTAGCCATCTGTTTTTAGCATTTAATCAGCTTTGGCATGACTTACATTTGAAGAATAACTTAATTATTGAAGCACATATTTAATATTGCTTTTATTTTTGATTAGCTTGAATTGCATAAGCTTGTTTAACTTACGCATGCTCCTTTTGATTGATAACTTGAAATTGACTTTCTCATAGATAATGCTGCACCTGCCGTACATTTTCTTGCATCTCTTGATTTCTTTTAGCTACAATTTTCATTTATTTATAATCTAGAAGCAGATCAGAGGAAGCAGATACGTTTGGTAATGCGGAGACAATTAATTGTGTATACTTTGTGGCAGATACTTTTGTGTCTTTTTGATAAAGATACTTTTTAATATTCTTTGTTGTAAGTAAAGATACTTCTGAATCTTTTGAGATACTTGCGAATATTATCTGTATAGATACTTTTGTATCTTTCAGATACAATTACTGGCAGCTGATATATACTAAAGTATCTGCAACCAAAAGACGCTTATTTGGTTGCAGATACTTTAGTATATATCAGCTGCCCATACTTTTAGGCTTAGACCCATTCAAAGATATCTAATTCCTTTAATCTTCCTAAATACTTTTTAATCGTTGCAATATTTTCGAAGGTCAAATACCCTTACTTAACTTAATCACAGTGCCTATAAATAGCAGTTCATAAATTCCATTAGGCTTGCTAAAATACCAGCTTAGAACGCTGCCTGTCTAAGTTTTAATTCCATTTTTATACAACGCCGCCCCCTGACAGCTCTGGTGTAAATTAACTCACTCGCTGACAACAGATGATGTCCCCCTTGCATCATCTATCTTCGATGTCTGACAACAACCTACGACAACTGTAATTACATTAATCCATTGGCACGCTTCGTCGGCTCTCGCTTAGCTGTTCCGTCTTCCTCTCTGTCGGTCGACCGCCGCTCGCCTGCTGCGCCATGAATATCAAATAACCAATCAACGCATAAAAAATTTTCGCACTAGTCCAAATGCAAAAACGAAAAAGTGTAAATATAAATGAAGGCAGGCACGAATCAATCAATGAATCGAGCCCAGGACAAGGACGCACAGCAGCCCAGCAGCAGCAGCAGCGACCCAAATCAATCAAACTTTTTGTTTGCTCGACAATATTTTAAACTTTTTTAGCCGCTGTTGACTTAAGCCACGTGTAAGTTGCCATGTTTGTCGTGCCGCACAATGAGGCGCACACGCACACAAAAAGGTGACAACAACACAAACAACAACGGCAAGATCAACAATGTAGGCATATTCATAACCAGCTAAACCTACCCATCTCAGCTGCCAGACAATGGCTCTAAATAAACTCAACCCTCGGCTGACATATTCGCAAGCCGCCGCCAGTCGGCTTGATTCTTCCTTTCTCTTGCTATTTTCGCCAGCGAAAATTTTATACAAATTATGCAAATGCTCTGGTTTCTTATCAGTAAATTAGCAACAGCCGGCAGGCGCTGCCGGGCCACGATTGATTATCCCAAATGCAAATTGAAGCTGCAAAAACGAAAAGTGAAAATCTGAAATCTGAAATCTAAATTTTTTTTCAGCATATCATTTATCAAGCATGGCAACAACTTGCAGCGTTTGGCAAATCACATAGAATGATGATTAATTTGCACGTGATTTGAGCTGGAGCCGGCGGGATTAACAGCAGCGGCAGCATCGATGCCCGCCACTGTCCACTAGCGGCTACTGTCTGCTAATGTTTGCATAAATGTTTAAGCTGTTGAGTCAACACAGACGGGGGGCAACTGCAGCTATATAGACGCATACTCGTTTTTAGTGTGTTAGGGGAGCGCAGCCGGCGCGTCGCAATAATTAATGATGATGTGAAGGTATCGCAGTCATGCGACATTAGCATGATAAATGAGCAGATGACCAGTTGACCAGTTGACCAGCTGACCAGCTAACTCGATACTAATCCGCGCTCCAGACACATTTACTATAAAATTGTGAAATCTTCAACACATTCGCTGCATTAAGGCCCCTTAAAATGATAAAGGTGTAACAGCAAAATTATAATATTAAATATTTCGGAGTAAAATCTGAATAGATATGAGGATCACATTGCTCGGATTGAAATCCATAAAAATTACAATGACATAATTCGGAGTAAATATGAATTCGGAATAGATATGAGTTCGGAATAGATATGAGTTCGAAGTAGATATGAATCGAAAATCGATGGAAATAGCAATGAGATAATTCGGAGTAGTCATGAGTTCTGTGTAGATACGATTTCGGAATAGATATGAATTCGGAGTAGATATGAGTTCGGAATAGGTATGAGTTCGGAGTATATATGAGTTCGAAGTAGATATGTCGATCGGTAAGAATCGATCGGTAAATAACTATAGTAATAAAACACATTAGCTTAAACATACCAAAAGATTTTACGGCAAGAATTTATTAGCCTGTTGAATGTATTCTCATTGCTTCCGGTCAGCAAAGTAATACAGTTCTTTAATAAGAGCGTCGCCTAAAAATGTTTTACCGAGCATAGTGCGGTCCAGGTTATTAAAGTTGATGCCACTGGCGTAGGGCGATTGATCATTGGTGCCCAAGTAGTAGGAGCCGCGTGCCGTGGACTTTGCATAGTAACCAAGTGCCTCCACTTGGGGGCTCGGTTGGCACTCGTTCGTGATGAAACTCAACATATCCTTACAACGGAAGCCATAAAAGCCGACGGAAGTGGTTAATGACTCCGCAAAGTAGTCCGCGGAACGCCTGTGATAGCATTCATAGGTAGTCACTGTGCATAGAGAAGCAAGGACTCAGTTCTAAATAATAATACTAGCATAATTCAAGCTACTAACACTGGCTAATGGGGCCACAATCGGGCTGCATGACGCCCTTGTTGGGGAAAAAGTCCACATGTCCGATCGGCGACATTAGACCATGCAGAAAAACATCCGAATGAATCACATCCACGAAGCCGGCATCGCCTTTGTCCAGGCGATCTTCAATTCTGTTTGTGAGGAATAGCGGCTTAGCGGGATCTAGCGCTGTAATGCGTTTCACTTGTATGTTCAACGCTGCCAACATTTTCGCTGCAAATCCAGCCACATGTGCTCCCAGACCAAATCCAATCAGATGCGTATCCGATATATTCGCGCCGCTGCGAACCAACAGATGAGCCAAGCAACGACCCACAAAATGTGAGTTATGCACAGCTTCCCTATAGCAGGGATCGACCACAAGATTGGCAAAGTCTACGGAGAGTACATCTACGTTGTAATCGCGCAGCAATGCCGGTCGCACCTGAAGATTCGGCGACGCATTCCGATCACCAACGAAACCGTGTATCAGCACATGAAGCTTTCTTGTAGGCATGAAGTTATAGTCCTCGGTAAACTCAATGCCACCGGGATTGGAGGATCTATTGAGAGTCTCAGATGAACGTATATTAGCAAATAAATTCTACAATGCGCTTACTGATACAACCAGAAGGTAATATTCGGATTGGGACACTTATCGTCAAGCATCGCAAAGCAATTGCTCGGATTGATCGCGATGCGGGCAAAAACCAACTTCAAGCTTGTGCATCCTGTTGAAATATATTTGAAATATTTTAGCCTTTCTATAGCTATATGGCCATTCCTTAAGTACCTAGTATTATTAACAGCTTCAACATCTTACTGCATTGCCTAACTCCAAAAAGCTGATGACTAAAGTTGAAAATTTAAAACGAATATAGCGTTTGATATGCGTGACTTATAAGATTAGTTGAGCTGTTTATACAATATTATTTATTTTATATATATGTGTTATATATATGCTTTCAATTTGTTATATGTATGCATAGCCCATTGTATTTTTAAGTTATATAAAGTAAATAAATGACTACGATTTTTTACGCTTCACATACTTAGATATTATATAAAAGTATTCTTATTAAATTATTATTAAATAAAATGTAGCTCATTCAGTTCAGTTTCTAAAAGTGAAAAGTATATATATTTTATATTATATATATTAAATCATAATATAGTCATCAGCTGCTACTAATAACGATACATTAGCGGTAAGCTCTTGCAGTACTAATATCAATTTGTTGCTTAAATAAAATTTATTTAAAAAGTTCTTAAAATATTTTGTTGTTATGCTTAACTCTTAGTGTTGATATAGCTCTGTAGAATAAGGATAAAAAATAATTGTGTGTATCAAATATCATTCATATATTTATATATATTTATATATATATATAACTCACCTTGTATACTATGTAAACTGAAGAAGCTCTCACTGCATGAGCTCAAGTAATTTTTTTGCATACCAATTTTGTCTCTCAACTGAGTTCACAAAGCTATATGAGAAAGTTAAATCTTACACTCATAACAATATAGCATGCCTATTTATAATAGTTTTTTTTTTTTAATTTACTACTTAGCTCATGTGTATTACAATTGTTGCGTTGCTCTTAGAAAACAGGAAATTAAGTAATTTAAAAAAATTCAAAGAAAGTGATTTCCTCACTCTTACGTCCAGCTTTAACGCATCTTCCTCTTTGCTTCACAAGACTTTAAAGTACTTTCACTTTGAAGGTCAAACCATAAACTTGGCAACTTGACCCAATTCAGCTGAAAGCTGTTTGCTACATGCATTCTTTGGCAGCAGCTGCTTAGGGTCCCCTGTGGCTGAATATGTGCTTTTGCACCTTAATGTGGTCACATTTAGGGCACTCACTCATTCAGTCATTCCCTCACTCAAGCACTCGATACCTGCCAAACACTCACACACACACACACTTGCCACATTGCGAGGCGCCTCACGTGCCACGCTGATGGGAACGTCGTTCATTGAATTACGCACAAGTTGCCAAACGCCCGGGACACAACTTTTTACTACAGCCCAGTCAAGTTTTTGAGCGATGCCATTTGAAAAGTGGCTGACAGGATACGATGAGGCAGTCGGACAGCGAGACAGGCAGACCCACGGAGCAGATGGACAGAGGACCGGATGCTCCACTCTTAGGCTCCACTGCAAATTGGCAGCAGCTCTCCAGGGACAACTTTTTGGACTGCGCTAGAAATGGAATTTATTGATAGGGTTGCTAAAGCTTACACTTAGAAACATGACGTTAACTACTTCTAGAGCTGGCTTAGATTAGATTAGAAAACTATTGCATAAACTAAAATTAGAATAATATATATATATATATAATAATATATAAAATATATTTTTTTTAAGTTCAGCGAAACTAAAACTCTCTAAAAACTAGCTCACTAAGAATATATTTAAAGAAAATAATTTTAATTAAAACAAGAATAATAAAATGTTAAGGCATTAATATCATTTATACTTAATTTTTATTCATGATTAAATTATATTTAAAATTTGTATTCCTATAAAATTCATAAATATTTAATTTTTGTTTTAAAAAAAATGTTTAAAAATATTTGCAGAGCTCAACATTTTTTTCGACCAATGTTTTCTTCAAGTGTAGCATCCCTGGTTACCAGCCTCCCACTCACGGCCACCTGTTGAAAACTTTGGAGCTCTGTTGGCGCGCAGATATGAAGCAGGGCTTATGTGGCGAGCCTTTGGTTTTCAGCTAAGAGTTTGAGTAATTGCCACGTACGCGGCGGGTATTTAAGTTTTAATTGAATTTGATCGAATGCATGTGATAAAATTAATTGAAGAGGCTCAGTGAAAACTAAGAGTACTAAGAGAACGCATAAATGCTAGCAAAAGCTGCGCCGTGTCCACTTGACCAAAAGTTTTTAATTGACTTTTGAGCGTAAAATTTGAGCATCGCATAAAAGGGGCGAGGCAACTAACAACTTTTTGGGGCGCAACGCGTTTTGCATATGTCAAGAGAGAATGACAGAGAGGAAGAGAGACAGAGAGAGAGAGAGAAAGAGTGGGGCAGAGTCGTGGCCTCTGTTAGCCAGGTAATTGATGTTGCCAATTTGCGTTTCGGCCAAAAACTTTGTTGTGTAGTTTGCGGTGTTTCATTAGCGGTTTATGTTTTGGCAAGCACCAAATGGCAACTGGTAAATGCTTTTTTTTTTGTTCTTGGCTAGCATGTGTGGGCGTGACTGCTGATTGGACGCATCAGTCGTAACTTTTGAGTATGGCTGCTGCCATAACTTTTGAGCCGCAGCAAATTTGATTTATGACTTATCAAACTGTTGAAGTGGCGCTCATATTTTGTGATAAATTACGCAACAGCCAGCAGTAAGTGCAACAGTAAAACAGTAAACGGGCAAAGGCCTCTTAAAAAGACGCAGCTCGTAAACCTCAACCGCAAGCTCGAGCAGCCTCAAAGTATGCCACGCAAATGGCTGCGGCAATTTATAAGAGAAACAATTTTGCCAGCTTAAGGCAAATTTCAGGTATTTCTATGAGTGCGCCAAAACCTTAACAACGACCTGACAAAGCGGATGTGGCCAATTTCAGCATTTTCATAATTTCCGCTCGGGTTTGCTTTGCCTGCGGTTAGAAGTATTTGGCAAAAGACGCCGCCCGAGTTGCCCAAAGTCTCGGCTAAAGTCTGCCGAGCTGCATCCTTTTCCTGTTCCGCCGCAACATCGAAAGTAAAGCTCGTTTATTTACGGTTTAATAAGTCTCCGTTACTTTGCCATAAAAAAAATAACCCACGACAAATAAAATATAAATATGAAGCCTTGAAAATAAGAATCACCTGCCGGAAACATCTACGCCCCATGCACTGCGCCCACACGCGCCATCTATCTAAGCCGTCTAATTCAGATTCGGGCTGCTGACGTTATGAGTCTTAAGCTCTAAACATATCAAAAATAAATATCATTATAATAAATTTAAAGCGCCTTTAGCTCGGATTAGGGTTTTTCTATGGCAACCTGAGCTGATTTCATCAAAGCAGCTAAAACATCAAAGCAAAGTGCAAGAAAAACAAAAACAATTTCATTCAATATGCTAAGAAAATACTCTTTCAGGCGTTAAGCTGATCTCAATTCTTAGCGGTTATATTATATATAAATATAAATATGTGCATTTCTGCAATTTTATCTGAAGATTTAGCAAGGAATATAATAATATTGAATATAAAAAATAAAAATAAAAAATATATTATATTTTATAAATATTATATGTATTATGATATATTAGACTAAAATATATATATATACATTTTTTTTAATTGCTGTTTTTATTTTCAATCTGTCTTATACTAGACAATAAACAAATTTGTTAACAATAATATTATATAACCGGATGGCTTGGGCTACAATGAGATCAATCCATATATTTACCTACTTTACATATTTATCTATTTCTGTGGGGCAGGTCTAGGACATGAAATTTTTTAAATTATTATAACTAATATTCAACTTAAGTTCATGAAATTAACAACAAAACAGTAGACATACATAAACAAATATAGAGTTATAGAAAAATACATAAAAATAAGAAAAAATTATTGCAAAATTTTAACGATGCCAAAAAATTGATGTAAATCATCTGGAAACTCTGCCTTTAAGTGCCGGCTATATCAATAAAAACTCAACAAATATTGTCTTCGGGTGCTGTAAAGAGAATGCATCGCACATTCGGTTCTCAAATTGTAATACTCAATGCGAGGGCATACGAAAAGGTAGGCAGCTCTATAGGTAGATGGGTAGAGGGAGAGATATGTATGTACAGAAGCTGCTCTGACATTAATGTATGCAAATGCTATGCCATTCAGTTTACTTTGATTATGTTGTCTGGCTGTGTATTAATATTATCCTTTTTTGGAGTAACTTTACACTGAGCACAGGATATGATTTGCATAGCTCAAATAATTTCGGAGCGCAGGGGATTGGCATGTAAATTTCATTTCATTTCGTCTGTCTGCGTGTTGGCAAATGATTTCTCGATTTATGCGCATTCGAGGTGATTAATTATTGATTTCGAGATTTGATTGGACAAAAAATGATTAATGCTCCAGTTGAGGCGTCTCGAATTTCATTTCCAATTTCAGAACAGCTGTAACAAAAGGACGGCAGTGTATCTACAAAGTGGGTGCAGTCCGGTTGACCAGTCTGAGAGCACACAAACCACAACTAGTCAAAACTGGTTAAAGGACCTTCGCGAAGCGGGGCGTGTGTGGACAGCATTGATAAGTTGGCAAAACGCGCTAAATGAGTAAAAAATTGCGCGCAGGCGCAGAAAATTTAATTAAAACAAGTAAGAAAGCTCTAGTCGGGGTGCCCGACTAGGAGATACCCTGATCCCAGTCCTTTGAGTTTTGTAATATTTTCCGTAGTTTGTATCGAGTATTAAAAAAAAAAAAAGAAAAAAAATAAAAATCGACTTTGCGAGACCCGGATTCGAACCCGGATTATTTGCGCAACGTGCACAAACACTACAAACACCGCCACTTCATAACTAAAAATAAAACAATAAAAAACATTTCATCTCCACTGGACTCGAACCCGGACCAAGCTGCATGCGAGCGGCGCCTCTACCAACGCAGCCGCTGTCCTTCTTATTCGATCTGCTGCAAATTTGAACATAAGTAGCAGCTAATATTCAGCTTTAATTCAATCGCAATTTCAATTCTTGGAATAGAAAAGAATTCACGCATTTGAATGTATGTGTGCACACGCATAGGAAAAATGCGTGCGCGTGGCGCTGCTGACATGTGCTTTTGCAAATTGGCCAAACGTTTTGTTTAATAACTTCTGTTTTACTTAATGGATTT